TGTCAGTCTGGCCACATCATATTTTTTTCTACTTCGCGGCGTACGGTGCAGTCGTCGCCGAGCTGCTTCCCAGGCGCCGCCGCCACCGTTGCCACCGCTTTCGTTTAGTAAATTTAGCGATTTATCTTTGAATCGCGCGCGTCGTCTCTGCAGAGGGAAAAATTTTTATCCCGAGCAGCAGCAGCAGCAGCAGCATCAGCAGCAGCAGCAGTACGAGAGAAAAAATATAAATTTACCCACCAGCGGGCGAAGTGTTGAAGCAAGGCGCGACTGACTGCATGCACGCGCGCGAAAATAAAAGCTTCCCTCTCTCTTTTTTTTCTCTCTGCATTTGCTTTTGCTCCTGTTGCAGTACGTACAATTTTAATGACGCACTTGAGCTAAAAATTCTCTTTCATCCTTCCTTCCGTCCTTCCTTCCTCTCGCTCCTGTATTTTTTTTTGCTCGCAGTTTATACGTATACAAATTTACATTCAACTCCATTATAATGTATATGTACTCGTGCAGCGTTTTATTCTCCTATCTTTTATATATACGAAATGCAAATACACTCGCTCTCTTGTCTTCGATGGCGCTCCCTTTGTCGCTTATGTACGCACGATATACCCTTTCGTTAAAAAAAAAATATAAAAAAACCCCCAGTGTTGAGAATAATTAATGTTCGCGTTTTTCAAGGAGCAGCTAGTATCGCTCTCTTGCCCGCGACGACGCAGGAGGGAAAAAAAAGCTCAAATCACTTTTTCTTTTGAAAATCGTCTTCTGCTCCGCTGCAGCAGCAACAGCAACATCTCTTTATTTTTCATTCTGACGTCGCCCAGAGCGGCGGAAAATGCGTTCTTGTCCCGTCCTTCTGCGTCCATCTTATGTACGAAAGAAAAACGTTGTTATTTTAAACACGTAAAAGCGTAACGACTCAAGATTTAAGCGCGCTTCTCTATATATCTCCTCAAAGAGTAAAGCACAACACACAGCGTACACACACAGACAGATACACCTGGCAGATGTTTCGAGTCCTTGAAATATATACTTGATCTCTCTCTCTCTCTGAAAAGTCGTGGTTTAGAAAAGTCTCAAGGAGCTCTTATTCATTGCTCCAACCCCCGACCCTTAGTCCGTGTACGTGACGCATCGAGATACGGACACCTTTACTCTTATCTTTTTTACGAGCTTCTTTTTCATCGACGAATTGCTCGTATCTAAAATATTTAAATACAAAAAAAACAGGAAAATCCTTGAGATAGCCGAGATATAGATATAATATATTGTTACAAGTAATGTAAACAGACATAAAAAATATCTCTTAGCCTCTAGACAAATATGAGTCGGTTCAATGCCAAATAGTTCCATGCCACACCGCTAGGGGGCGAGGCATTTGAAAACCCGAAACCCGCTACAAGAAACGTAAAGATAGGTATATAAGTCAGAGCGCGTATGATTTCTACGAGGCCATTTTTATGACCCGTCCGTGTTGACAGAGACCGTAATACGCGTAATACAAGTTTTGTAATTTCGCCCGCGAGCTGGATAAGAAAAAGGACCTATACAAAGGCTCTCTCGGCTGCTGCTGCAAAAGCAGTCGATGTTGAGAGACGTAACGCGCGCAGCGGTGCAAGATATATAATAGGCTGCTGCAGTTTCTTCACCAAAGCCGCGTTTGACGAAAAAAATCTATTTAAAAAATTTTGCAAGAAAGCTTCTCGACGAGGGTAAATTTGAAAAATTTCACGAAATAGCTCGAGCGAGCTGTGCGAGAGCAGCGCGTGTAATATCAAAAAGTTGAAGAGGAAGAAGAAGAAGACGAAGTAAAAAAAAGTCTTGATATAACGGGCGCGACGACAGAGAGAGAGTATATAGCGGTAGACGACTCTCGCATCCGTACTACGACTCGGTGTGCTGCTGCTGGTGGTAGCTAAATTCGCCTACACAAAATATATTATAATATCTCCGCGCACCGAGTAGTCTCTCTCTCGTCATATCCTCTCTTTGGCAGTCTTCGCTCCCTCCTCTCGAAACTAGGTCATAATAACGCTCGCGGGCCTACAAGCTCTCCCTTATACACACTTTTACACATGCACATGCACAAGCTCAAGCTCAAGCGGCGTATAGACCTGCGCGCTACGACGACGACGACGACGACGACGACCAACTCGTGTCTGTGTGTGTGCTTCCGTTCGGGGCGCAAGCGCAATGCAAAGTACTACTACCACTGCCGCTGCTGCTGCTGGCTGTAGCAACAAAAGCCTCTGTACAAATACGTATATAGGTATATTTGATATAAACTCAGCTGCTCGATCGGGCTCGTTATTGCCTCGATGCGAACGTCTACTACGCGCGTGTGTGTGCGCACAGCACAGCCTTTCGCGTTTCAAACGTACCGCGTATATATATTCCTGCGCGAGCTTTCAAAGCTTTTGCATATATAGCGTATACATATAGGAATAGGTAAAGAAGCGTAGCTGCAGCTCCCGCGTAGAGTTTGTTTTTCTTTCCCTTCTTTCTTTTTTTTATCGTTCTTTTCATTCTTTCTTTCTTTTTTTAATCGTTGCAGCCCCGCTACCGCCTCGTTGCGCGCAGCAGCAGAAAACGACCAAGCTCTAGCTTCGACTCTATATGCTATATACCGAAAATAGAATTTTCAAACTGATTACGTAACTGCGCGCTTACGAACGAACGCCTGCGAGTGTTAATTACACGACATCTTGCACGTGTACATGAGTATATGGGCTATTCCACAACAGGTGTTGCAAGCCCAAAAAATGAAGTTGAAAGTAACCATTTACTCTTCAAGAACACAATGAAAAATGAAAATCCTGAAGGGCACAGCCCCCTAGGTCCAACCCTTATGGATCTACAGGGGCTCAAAGTTGGATTTTCATGGTATGAGGATATTCTGCTTTTTACTCTGCTTTTCTGGGGGGACATAAGAAAAAATTTTTAAACCATGTTTTTTCATGTAAAATTTGATGTAGAATTCAAATCTGTACTCAGATGAGACATTAATAACCTCAAAACCCCTTGAAATAGAAAGTATGGTGTAATAGGACATAAATGTCAAAAAAAAAATATGTTCGTATACCTCAAATCAGCCCATATTGTAATATGTTCATCGATACACCAAAATACAACTTCTGATAAAGTTTGGTAACTGAGTCTCCATTACAGACAATTTGGTAGCTAGCGAAGAGGCAAAAAACATGGAAAATGAGGAAAAAACCATGTTTTTTGGGCTTTCAAAAGCTACATAATGATCTGTAATGGAGACTCAGTTACCAAACTTTATCAGAAGTTGTATTTTGGTGTATCGATGAACATATTACAATATGGGCTGATTTGAGGTATACGAACATATTTTTTTTTGACATTTATGTCCTATTACACCATACTTTCTATTTCAAGGGGTTTTGAGGTTATTAATGTCTCATCTGAGTACAGATTTGAATTCTACATCAAATTTTACATGAAAAAACATGGTTTAAAAATTTTTTCTTATGTCCCCCAGAAAAGCAGAGTAAGAAGCAGAATATCCTCATACCATGAAAATCCAACTTTGAGCCCCTGTAGATCCATAAGGGTTGGACCTAGGGGGCTGTGCCCTTCAGGATTTTCATTTTTCATTGTGTTCTTGAAGAGTAAATGGTTACTTTCAACTTCATTTTTTGGGCCTGCAACACCTGTTGTGGAATAGCCCATATATAGTGTAAGAGAAGCAGCGGAGCAATTTCCGCGATATATATATATCTGCATCTCTCTCTCTCTCTCTTTCTCTCTGTACGACGGAAGCGATCGTAGTAGCTGTAAGTGTGTGCAGTGTGTAGCGAGGCATTAAATGTTCGCCATGAACACGCTCGGGATATTTAAGCTTTTGAATTAGTCCTTGGGAGCTTAAAAGCTGCGGCGCGTTACAATTTCACCGATATATATAAGTAGAGCTCCGAATGCATAATACATACCGACCCCGAAATGCATCAATTTTCCGGAACAAGGCAGAGCGGAAAAAAACTTTTCCTGAACTGCGGATAAAAATACAAAGTCCACACGAATTCATGAGCTTGCCTTCGGTTGAAACTATCGATTAAAATTTGGTTACTTCGAATGACGGAATATATTCTCTACGCGCGTATATAGCTATTTGAAATATAAATTGAAAAATCGTCGGGGCATGCACGCGACGAACAGAACACAGCGACGTTGTGTCAGGGAGAAAATGATTAATTGAACTGTATACATGCATGACCACCACCACCACCGCCACGTCCCGTGCATGCGTACATTAAACTACCCCTCTACCCCCTTGCCACTCCACCCCCGCCACGGCCACGCTATAAACGATATCTATGCGTGGTCCGTATTCATTTTAATGCATATTCGATGTTGCGCGCAGCAGCAGAGAGAATTCGAACGAGAATACGAGCCCGGTCGTCTGTGTGCAGTGGTTCCGAGGGACGTCGACGACGATGTGTATTTTGCTATTTTTCGTAGCCGCGCTGCCGAGCGAATTTTTCCTTTAATGTACACAAACGCATACACCAACGAATCACATATATAAAGGAATGGGTATATGTGTGTGTGCGCCGCTATACGCTCATCCCTTCTATACACGTACGCGTTTGCGGCTCGGAAAATTGATAAAGGTTTTACATGCGGCCGCGCTGCGGATATAACGATGGCTTTTTGCGGAATTGAATTGCAAACTGCCGCTGCGCCGCGCGAGCGCGATGAATGGAGAGCAGCAGCGAGAAGAAGGTTTTTCATTATTAGAATTTCCGAGGCCACGCGAAGTACAAAAAAATGGAAAGATATAAAAGTTATAAGTTTCTACTAATCTTTCGGGGAGAGAGAAATCGTCACTTTTCAAAATTTTATCCATTGAAAAGTATTCGAGTGTACAGTCGCGATTGAATTGGAGATATATGGTACATCATCAAAGTAATAAATAAAAAATATTAATAACAAAAAAAGAAGAAGGTGGTAAACATCTCGCTGGTGTGCGGGCTACTTACTTGGTGCTTTCAATTTAAGATAAAGTATATTCGTCGTCGCCACAGTCATTTCGTATGACTCTCCTATAAAATCAAAAAACAGAAAAAAAAATTATTAAAAAAAAAACAACTTATCGTTCGTCAAAGCCAATGAAACGGGCAAAAAAAAACCACAAGCGCAAAGAGATGCAGACGAAAGATACGACAACTGAATACGATGAAATCGAATATTACGTTGACCGATCTAGCAGTGGAGAAGAGTAAAGAAGAAAATAAAGCTCGCACACACAGCGCGTTGTAAGCTTTTTACGTTTTTCAAGATAATCAAAATAAATGAGGGAAAAATCGCGCGCCGCTGCTGCTGCTGTAATCCTACATCTCTCTTGGAAAGAAAGAGAGCTACATCGCAGACACGCGCGGTGACTGTAGCAGCAGCTTCTCGCGCGCCAAAGAGTCCGCAAGTATCTCTCTCTCTCTCTCTAAGCTCGTAGCAGAGCTTACGTCTCTTGCATAAACCATGATGATGAAGCAGCAGCAGGAGCGTATGCTATATGTACGTACGTACGCCAGCGGCGAATGTGCAATCAGCGGTTTGTTTATATGCTTAAAGATACACACACACACACACATAGTTGGCTAGAGCTCTCTCGAGCCGAGGCTATGTTTTCCTTATACTAATACACCTGCGCACAACGTATATATACACACAAGTATACAAGCAGAAGTGAGATTAAAGGACCAATAAAACTGTATACATACACGTATATATAGAAGAGAAAGTTGCGCGCGCTTTGCCCGTAATTAGTTTTCGCGCGCGCGCCTCCAGTTAGTTACAATTTTATATGCGCGTCATGGAAAAAGATGAGTACAACACACGTGTGTGTTATTACAGTTGCGCCGATAAAAACGTAACGATGATTTCGATATCGAAAATTCAGGTTAGTAATACGGCGTATAGTACTAGCATAGAGAAAAAAATAAATGACCATTGAAACGAGAAAAAGTGAAAATTGATTGTAAGTGTATAAATACACACACACACACATAAAAAAAGTACCATTAAAGAAGCTCCACTAACGAGCCACCGACACCGTTGCTGGTATAGAGAGTGCCGAGCATTTTATACATATTCTATATATTGTACGAGAACATATATATCGACAGGAGCTCGGGCTTTATAAAAAAGATTTTTGCGAGCTTAACAACACACAAACGCGCGTGAAATGAAAATTAACCGCTCTAGTTATTTATTATTAGGAAACTTTAGGGCGCGTAGGCGGGGGAGAGAATCGTGCAGTTATATTTACGCGAGTAGTAGTAGCAGTAGTGCATTATTATTGCGTCGAGCACGAAACTGCGCGCGGGGAGCTGAACGTTTTTATTTCCAAGTAGAGCTGCTGGCTGGGCGAAGGAAGCGAAGAAAAAAAAATGAAGTAGGAAACTTTGAAAACAACACGTATGCCGCGCCAACTCGCGGATTCCGAAACGATCGCATAATTTTTTTCTTCCTCTTTGTTTTTTTTTTTTTTTTTTTTCATTAAAGTTTCTTATGCAGGCAGCGGAGATAGAGGATGGTCTCTCTACGTAAGCGCAAAAGCAAACAAGTAAACACTTTTGATGGAGTAATCTCTCTCTCTCTTTCTTGTGGATTTTTGGACTGCGCGCGGGTTAAACCCGCTGCAGTGGATAGTCAGTGGTGCGCGGCGCGCGCGACCCACAGAAATAGCCGCTCTCAGTAGTTTTGCCCAATATAGAGTCAGGCGTTTTTTTTCTCTTCACGGTCGGGAATTTTTATTCGCCCCCCCACCTTCTCTTTCTTATCGGATCCGGAATAAATACAAGATTTCCGCTCGGCGTGCAATCTACCTACTCTACCTGCGTCGAGTTTGAATAAACTACTATCGCTGCGCATTGGAAAAAATTTGCGCGTCGAGTGCATCTTCTGTAGAAGATATAAAACCCGCAACGCGAGATATATGTACGTTTTGTTTCGCACTGCACAAAATGGTTTTACGCAAAATCGATACACCCTCTTTCCATTACGTTCGTTACGATATCCCAATGAATATAAGCGTGGAAAGAATAAAAAAAAGCAGCAGCAGCTTGCATCAATCCCACGGCGGGGGCAGAAGGTTCGTTGACCCGAGAGACCCGAGAATTGTATACATATTTTCATCGACGTTTATATTGTTTTGTGCACGTTTCAATGGCAATTTCAAACTGGCACAAAGCGAGGATAATATCGTTGAAGTATCAATGCGCAGATGAAGAATCGGGCCGAGAGAGAAAGGAAAAACAGGGTCAGAAATTCGTTGGACGCGTAGAGCAAGTTGTTGTTTGCTTACATGTTATGTATATACGATGCACCCAGTGGAGCATCTGACCCATAAATACATATGTTGTGCCATACGATGCCCGCCGAGTGCGTGAGCTACATATATACGTGGAAGAAAATAACGTTCACGCGGTTGAAAATGCACATCTCTCTCGGGGGGTGGAGGCGGGGGAGTATTGTAGTAGATAGCGATACACGATCGTGAATATTGAAAATTTGCCCGCAATTTCATCCGCGACTGTCGGACGACGTAATTTTGCAATCGATACGTAGCCGAGTGGTGTATTATATGCGTTTCAACGAGCTCACATACATACATATATCGAAAGAAAAATAAAAGTCGAACGGCGAGGCAGAAAGAATCTAATCGATTATGTATTATACGTGTATACGAGTGCAAAACTACTCGAGTGAAAGTTGAATGGCACCGTGGCGCTGAGCCGCCGAGAGGGGAGTAAAAATGAATGTGTCGATTGTTTGCGAAAAATGTCTCTCTCTCGCGAAACGACTCGCTCATTAAGATGTCTCGAGCGAGCTGTGGAATAAAACACACATATACACTAATGCAGACGCCGTGACTCGCTTAGACACTTATATACGTACGTACGTACGTCTGATTTGGTAAAAATTTTAGAGAGAGAGAGATTTTATCGTTGATTTAAAACACGATATATACCATAGACTCGCGTGCATAGGAATAGAGAGAAATATTATATATCCAGCGCGAGAGAGATTCATTAAGAGCCGCGCGGGTAGGCTTTTACGGCTGTTACATATATAAATTTATTTATGGCAATGAGTTTTGGGTAACACTTGCCTTGCGTTATACATTATACGAGAGAGCCAAGCCTGCCTCTCTATGCGCACACTACTACCATACTATATGGCAGCTTTTACATTTGCGCGAGAGCTTGGCACGTAAAATTACGTAAAACACATCGTCTAAATGCTTCAATTAAGCCCTGCGATGTTAACGCGCTATAGCGGGGATACATAGTAACTCTACTTTTTTTCTGCCAAGATTACTTTGTGTTGAAAAGTACGTGGATAAAATGAAAAAAAAAAAATAAGAAAATTTTTGTGCTTCGCCACAGAGCAGGCATGGAGATCGAAAGAAAAGGGGGGAAAATTCCATACGCGCGTTGGAGCACAAAGTGCAGCGCACCAGCGAGCGAGAATCACTTCCATCACGCAACAAAGAGCTGGGCTGCAGTGCGCCGAGAACATGTAACGAGAAAAGCTCGAAGAAGAAGAAGGAGAAAAAAAAGGCAACGACGGGGTTAATTTACAGCTCGTTGCAGCGATGGACCGTGATAAAAGGTTTTTCGCTCTCTGTTTCGAAAAAAATTATAAAATCGAGGCTCCCGAGTATAACTCGCGGCTTGTAATACGCGAGGACACATTTTCCGTGGCGTATATATTTAAGTATTTAAAAGCTCGAGGCACGTGGACTTTTATCGATCGCTTACCCGAAAGTACCTGTAATCATTTCGAAAAATGAAGAGTATAGTTTCGAAAAAATTTGTATTTAACTTGTAAAGCGAATCGTGGGCGGCGCTGGATAAATACATTTTCGAACGCGCGTGCATACGTGTATACATAATTAATAACTGCTAGCTCTCTCGCGTGCATAGGTATGTGTAAACAGAATTATGGAAATTTCGCTCCCAACTAGCTGATATGATAATATTCGAACCTTTAGGAGATGCGAAGGCCACCGCTGCCGCCGCTTTAAATATACTTGTAATCCCGCGTATGCGTACATGTTATACGTTATATGTTATGTGTAGCTTCGCTCGCTCTGGCGCGCGATCGCAAAGGATTAATTTTCCAGGGCATAGACGGAGGGGCTAGTTTCGGGGCGATGCGCGCGATAAAAGTAAACGATAGGATAATTTTACTTCCAGTTCGAGCCCTGTGTACGCACGAACGAACGTTAGAATATGTGATGGGCTTTGCGCGAGTGAAAATCGGGAGCTCGCGGCCAAAAAAAAAACAACAACGAACCATCGATCGATATAACATGGTAGCGGCATATATACTTATATTCAAAAGTTCGAAGACAAGTATGGATAAAACTATTCGACGATGTTCGATGCCTCGCTTGTATGCGCTTTCGGATACGGGACCGATCGTCGTCGCGAAAAGCGAAAGCAGAAAGTTTTGCATTTTGTATGGCAAGAGTAAGAAGGTTGTACGCCGACGAAGAAGATGTTATTTTGTGATACACACACATACACGCGATTGAGGAAGAAGAACACAAGGAATAAGCGACGTATACATATCGTAAATCAAGCGTAGCAGCAGCAACGAGCTCGACAACGGGATTTCTCTCTCGCGAAACTTTTACCCCCTGAAAGCATCGGTCGCCGCCGCCGTCGTCGAGCTATTGTAATTAAAATATTTTATACATGCATTATGCGAACCGTGTGCTATATATTTTTAGATTTTACTGTATACGTACACCGACGCGCGAAAATTGATTATCGTATACGTATGTACGCACGCACGTCGATTGAAAAGTCTCTCTCTCCTCTGATATCGGAGGTATATAAACGATTTCACCCGAAAGGATCTCGAGGGTCGCGCGTAATTATGCCGCCTACTACTACTACTACAGCTACTACTGCTATTCGTCGCGTTCGATAATATATGGTACCTGCGCTTGTAGTATCGCGCGTCGAGTTATGAATTTAACGAGCCGCGATTTGCGCGCTTTTGTGCATAGACTGCAGAGCTCGGCGTGAAA